CTTTGGGACGCCTTCCCATTTCACGGAGTAAAAGCCGGAAAAGTATTAGATAGAGGTGGATGAGGATCGTTGTTTAGACACTGGGTTTTCGTTACAAGATATCAGACGGCATGACTGATGGTGGACCACACGCGAGAAAGAATATCGCTCGTGTTTGCCACGCGATTTCGCAGATGGCACATTTAGGCTTGTAAACTAGACGGCCCGTTATTAATTACATCTCTTGGAGGTGGAGGAGCGTTTCGAAAGACTGTTGCGGATTCTCGTCTTCTTCTCGTGGGACATTTTCATGAACGAACTGACGTTGCTTCCGTAGCTTTTCGCAGCGAGACAGCTTTTATTCGCTTTTACTTGTGACGGAAGCTCTTTCTCTGTGAACGGGGATTACTATTTTCGGTTTTCCGTATCGGAAGAGTTGAGCTCGCGGCGGCCGTTTTTGTCGTTTCTATAGAAGCTCCATTAATACTCGGTAACGCAATAAACTATATTTAGGGGGCGGCATGGCGTACATATAGTATGATTTGATATCTCGTGAAACACCACATGGCCCCTGTGAATTTCTCTCTTCCTCTCGTTCCCTCTCGTTTTCTCTCTCTCTCTCTTTCTCTCCCTCTCCCTCCCTCTCTCTCTCTCTCTCTCTCTCTCTCTCTCTCTCTCTCTCTCTCTCTCTCTCTCTCTCTCTCTCTCTCTCTCTCTCTCTCTCTCTCTCTCTCTCTCTCTCTCTCTCTCTCTCTCTCTCTCTCTCTCTCTCTCTCTCTCTCTCTCTCTCTCTCTCTCTCTCTCTCTCTCTCTCTCTCTCTCTCTCTCTCTCTCTCTCTCTCTCTCTCTCTCTCTCTCTCTCTCTCTCTCTCTCTCTCTCTCTCTCTCTCTCTCTCTCTCTCTCGTCATCCGCCTTCACCTCACCCGCGCCTCTTTCCTCCTTCGTGGTCTCCCTTTTCCGCCCAGAACCTCGCCATTTGCCGTTTAACTTTTTCCCTGATCGTAGAGAGATTAATTTTTAACATATATCGACCTTTTTATACGTCTCGTTTAGGAAAATGTCATGTTCGTGTTGAGCTTAATTACAAGCGCCGTGAAATTAATTTCCGTCAAAATCGACCGATATTTATCGACTCATTATTAGCCGCTTCCGCCCGCGCAAAAAAATTGGTTACTTTTTTCTTAAATTGTACTACAAAATGTGAACACATGAATTTTATTTAGATTTTATATGCGTTAACATTTTACGAATTCTAAAATTATAAAAAATACAAGATACCAACATAGACGTAGTGATCGCATTGTAAGCGAGTAAATTAATTTACAACTTGTAGATAAAATTTAATTTCCGCTTATTCGCATGATTTGTAAGTAATACATAAGTACCTATGTCTTTCTCTGAACTTTTTGGCAGAAAAAGCATGTTTAAAAATAATCTGTGAAATTCGCTGTACGTTAATTCGTAATGCGTTTTCTTTTCCGAGATATAGAAAATTTCGGTGATTCGACGCTGCGAGGTGCGAGGCCGAGAAAGAAAGAGAAAGACGCGGCGAGGAGAAATGAACGGAAAGAAGAACCACGTGTCATGCAACGGAAAGATAAATAAATTCTGGTAGCTGTGCACCGATAAAGCGCAGAACACCACGGAGTTTACCTCCTTGTTTACGTCTACCGCTCTTTTCTGAAAGAAAGGGCCTACTTAACGGCGGAAATAATAATTAGTGAATGTGTCGACGTTCAATGCGAGGTCCGGAAATCCCTAGGTCACGAGGGTGGCACGCGACCTTTGTGTATCCTTCTTCTGTAAACAGCATTCTACTCTTCCGATATATACTTACTATATATATGCTGCACATACTAGTACGATATCTCTTGCGTACAGAACGTTTTAAAATTATTAAAAATATATAGGATGCGTTATATATATATATGCAGTTGCTATGGATTCTAGCATATGTTGCGTACAAATCGGAAAAATGTGTTAAAGAGGCAAAAGTTGAGTAAAGTACAATGAATATGATTCTCACTTTCCTATGCATCTTCTTTTTTAATGGAGAGAATCATCATATATTATCAAAAGTACAAATCAAATACAAAGATATAAATTATTTTTATCAATCAGTCTATTAATTTGTGAAAAGACTATCTTTTCTAACGTTAGTCCTCCCTTAAGCGTGATTTCGTCGACAAAAGAGAGAATACAGCCAAGCAAACAGCCAAGCGAAACGGGTCTCCCTGCGGTCTGGACCTGAGATGATTAGAGACGATTAGAACATGTTCTGGATTGCGTCTTACTATCGCAAAAGCGACTGGCGGCCACCGCTATATTCCCGCCTGACGTCTTTACACCCCTGTGTCGAGTAGCAGACACTCGGGGGTGAATATCGTTTAAGATCGCACACATGTGCGTGCGCGTGCGTCGAGAAATTAGCCGGAAATTAGTAGCAACTACGTATCATAATTATCGTATCGATTAAATTTTTATCAGAAGATAACAAATAAGGATAAAACATAGTTTAATAAATCGTTTAATAAATCGTATCGTTGTTCGATAGATGTATATGTCGGGGCTTGAAATTTTATACACTTTATTTACATGTCATTCCGCGTTTATGTAATGTTTATTTTATAAAACACCCGTGTAAACTGGATTAATTATTACGTCGCACCCGAGATCTCGGAATGCTCTTCGATCTGCCGCGCTACGGCTACCAAACCGACGACGACGTCGAGCGAAGGAGCTAGGAGTTCTAGGAGGAAATCGAAGGATCACGCACACAGGACGCACAAAGTGCGTATCTTTCCCTACGCCAGACCTCCACGCATTCTTCTCATCTCCCCGCTATCGTGATTATTACTTAATAGATATCGCGAGGAGCCGCAAGGGAAGAAGCTCATTATCACACGTTACCTCGCCGTGCTGCCGCCACCGGCGCTCTTTCCCTACTTTTATCGTTGCGTCCTGCGCACATCTCGCACCGAACTCCAGGATCTTTGGTTGGTCCTTGCCCGCCCAGCTTTTGTCGAAGGGCTGCTTGTTGGCTGAAGGAAAGAGAGAGGAGGGAGAAAGTTCACACAGCGATTATAGTTACAGTCGACTTGATTGATTGCGCTAATAATAATCGCATTCTGACGGTTTCCAAGTGTCATCCAAAGGTAGAGACCAGTGGTCCGTTCAAATTCCAAAGATACGTATTAGGATTTTTGGTTCAATTACATGCGATCTAGAATTCCCAGTGAAATCTTAAACGAGACTATTGTCGTCTCCTGTCGTCCGGTAGAAGTGTCTCACGAGGAGGAAGATGTGGTTAATCACGGTCGCCTCTGGCGCATCCAAGGTAAAAAATTACTCGTCCTATAAGTGCTTCTTCAATCGCGGCGTTTCCCTTTGACACAGTGAACCACCCCCCAATGAGCTTGTGGAGAAGTTTCTGTGGTGTTTGCCGGCAGACAGGCAGCCGGCCACTCGACCAATCATTTTTCTCCGATATCTACCACTAGAGGCCGAGAAAAGAAACGGAAGAGGCTGTATTATCGAATACAGAAGAATGCCGAAAAGAGGGAATATTTGGTAAGTGGTACTAATCAGATTTTATCAGCCGATAATAATTTCCAACGGCACACGAAAGAGAGACAAGGACTCGCTCGTCGCTTAAACGCAACTGTTTCAACCGCACCTCGCGCTGTCATTGAACTTTCTTCCGATTCCGAGGCAAACATCTGCATTTCTTTCTTGCCTTTCTTTTTTCGCATTATAATTCATCATTTGTCGGTGTAAATGTTTGACAAATCTATATAATTTACAGCAGATGACTAGAAATAATTATTTGGCTATTACAGCGTTGTGGCGTCTGGTTTCTCTCGAGAATAGAGAGCCAGACACCCATCTTTATCGTGGATAATGCATTTACATTTTCTTTTTTGTTCGCTTGTCACAAGTCGATTCAACTTTGAATGTCGCGCAAGAAGTTTCGTTTTAGCATTATCGTACAAAGGAGATTTAAAAAGAAATTGTAATTCACGAGAGTACTCTCCAATAACTACATGAATAATTATGTTTTGACGCGAGAATCTATGTATGTATGTGTGTGTAAAAAAAAAAAAAAAATATATATATATGCGCGTCGGATGTTATTTCTATCAATTGAATAATAGCTGTCTGGGGAGAAAGTCATAAAAAGGAAAACAAAGAGGAAACAGGTGTCGATTTATTTATGCGAACAGGTTGTCAGGGATGCGGGGTAAGTCCCGCGGGACCACTGTTACCGTTCTCTTTGACAGTGTAAGATTTTCCCGGTTGTTCTATCGTTTTTAACCCGTAGAGAATGCATAACACCGGTAGGGGAAGCTTTTTTCTCAAAGGGTCGATACATCTACCGGCGGATATTATATTTTCGTTGTTACTCTCTCTCTCTCTCTCTCTCTCTCTCTCTCTCTCTCTCTCTGTCGTTTCGTTGAAGACTCACTGCTTTGCTCATGTACATTACACGACACACCGTTATTATCATCAAGCTGTCTTCAACATTGCAAATGTATTTAACAAATTTACATTGTTGAGTTGAGAAGCACTCGACGGCGTTTCCTCCTGTTTCTTTTGATATCGCGAATGAATTTACGATAAAGGGGGACAAATAATGAGAATTCGCTACGTAGCTTCACTACGTGAAGCTCACCACGCGATACCGCGTCGAGGCCGCGGCTAATAATATTATTACACCGCGTAGGGAGCGTCTGAGCGTTCGCGTCGATTGGCAAAAAGACGAGCATGATGATGGCGATACGTCGTGAATCGCGAGTCGGAGGGGAGCACCGACGCGGCGCGTCATACCCTAAATCATACCCCACTTCGCCGTCGACGAAGCTCCCTCAATTTACTAATTGAATCCTGGTTCCCCTCTGGGGCGTAGACTAGACTGGACTCCGCCTGCACGGGGTCGGGTCATGATACAGGCCCCTCCGAGTACACCCACTCATACGGCGGCGGCGGCGGCGGCGGCGGCGGCGGCGGCGGCGGCGGCGGCGGCGGTTGCTGCTACCACCGACCAAGTGCGGAGGCAGCCTCGCGGCTCACTACGCGAGGAATAGATCGGTACCATACCGAATTCTCAGTGTCACTTTGACTGCACGTCCGAAATCGTATATCGTACATCGCGAGACGGAGACAGAGGCGACTTTGACTTTGTGCGCTGTCGTCGGGGACGAGTTAGATTCGGGCGGGCGTAAAAATTCAATTGGAATTCTCACGATTCAAGGACGCAAAGAAGCTGAACGCCCTGAGATACATATATAATTGAGAATAATTAAGTATATAAACGCGAGACCCCGCGAGAGAGAGACAAGCCTCGTACAGCTATAGACGAGATTCGAGCGGAAGTCGCAGAGATCTTTGATCTGCGATTGAATAATCAGCAGTCGATGCGCGCGACTAATAGCGATCAATTACCAGCATTAAGTCCCATTTCGCGAGACTCAGACGAGATACGAGCGATATAAGGGACCTTCGCGCTTCCGCGAGAAGGAGATCTGACGAGAGGGAGGTCTAATACGAAACCTAATTCTACAATTCTTTAGCCGTAATGTAAAGATATCACACAAGTATGATACAATTGGCTCGTAATAAGATATTCAATAATTAAATTCAAGTTGCAAAGTAGAAGAGTGAACTTGGTAAAGCGTAGTTAAAGTGTGATCTCCAGAACGAGTGTGACGAGTTGGAAGAACCTGACGGGGTAATCATGCTCGGCGGATACGAGGCACAAGCGGAATACTATCCGCAATGGCATCAACCCTACAATTATGTCACTCAGCTTCCTTACGGTGAGTATATCACGAACGATAAAGCTGATTATAAATGTTGCGAGACCAACAAATCAGTTGAAAGAAAATTTTCCGATAGTCCCGTCAACAAAAGTGACTTGATTGTATCAAAAGATTAATTTTTATAACATTTTTTAGATTAACAAATAAGAGAAGAGTCGCCAGAGATCAAGCGCGTGAAAACGCGAAATTTAATAATCGTCGTTTCTTTATCGCCGTTTTTTGAATCTTTAATCATTATTACCATTAACTCGAGAAAAATATTAGGTTACCAGTCACAATGTACTTGGCGACAATTTAGAACGAGACGTGAAAATTAGAAGAGTGTAGACTTACTTTTTTCAATTGCACGAATCAACGATAAGTCGTTTAGTCTCGTGAGGTTTTTTCGTCGCGTGAAATGAAGTTATAATTTCTTACACCATATCATCGTCATAGTCTTGCCCGCCCGATCGTAACGAATATTTGAGAGTTCAGATATTTCTAATGTATAATAACGCGTGCGACACTAGAAATAATCTATTTTACATAAGTTGGAGGATAGAAAAATCCTGCAACGGTGAAACTCGCTTTTCCAGTTTCCACATAAGGTAGACTGACCTTATTTTCGCCTTTCTTATCACTACCTTCGTTAATTCGCACCAGAATGTGATCGTTATAGACGACTAATGATGAAAGAAGTGTAGGAAACCGCTTGTGATAATAGTACGCCGTTCGATGGAAAAGTGCGGAATCGCAGAGTGTAAGACGTAATTATCTCGAGAGAGGGGCATGTGTACTATATGTACACACACACACACACACACACACACACACACACACACACATGTATATTTAATATGTACGTGCATATATAATATGTGTGTATATACATATATATACATGTATATACATATATATATATATATATATATATATATATATATATATATATATATATATATATA